AAGGGACAGTACATTATCTTTTCTTTTTGTCTACAATAAAATCAAAGTTTTTTTAGGTTAAGTTAATTGATTATTGTCTTCTAAAAAAATTAATTGATAATTGATTTTCTCTTTGAGAGAATAATTGATATGATGTTGTTGTGTCAGTAGTGGAAATTGGCATATTTTTCTTTTTTCTTCTTCTCGTTTTTTTTTTCCTTCTAATTTGGCTTTCAAACTCAAGGAGAAAGATGTTCCGTTGTACACACTGTTGGTACGAGAAAGAGGCTGAACGACTGGAGCTCTAGGTAAGATCAATTATTATTTGTTTGTTTAATTGATAATTTGATGTGCATTTTGGTTAGCTTAATTGATTTTGATTTTGGTGAGATTAATTGATGATTTGATATGAATTTTTGTAGACTAATTGTGTAGTTTACATTGAGAAATATGTTTTTGCTTGTATTTATTTAAATTATAAGGGTATTTAGTTGTCTACATTTTTTTTATAGAGCTTTTAGCCTTTTCAATATTGCCCATTCCTTACAAAATTTCTAGGTCTAGTAGTGAACATGGGAGATAAAAACTTTAGCCAAAAAAATAAAAGAATGAGACAAAAAGACATGAGATGAAATACCCAATTAAAAAACAAGAATAATGCATAATATAGTTTTGAAAATAAAAAATGATACTAAGTTGAATATTGTTTGTTTAGCTGTAGGTCAAATACATACTGTTTGGTCCATGTGTTATTGATTTGGTCAATTTAATACTTGTGTTTTAGTCTATATATTTTATGCTTAATAACTTGACGTAAATGTACACACTCGTAGGAGTACAAATGGGCCAAGTAGACAAAATGACCAAAATTGTAAGAAAGTAAACCACATGGACCAAATTTAATTGAAACACATGAACCAAAAATTATATCTAAAAACTCCAAAGACAAAAAGTTTATTTAACCCTTAATTTTATCTATTCTTCTTGCATCTCTTTTTATTTGTATTGTTTCCTTTCGAACAAACAAGATTAAAAATAAAATATGAACGCCAGTGTAGTATAGCTCAATCGGTTGAGCTTTTTCACCTCTATTCATGTGGTCAGAGGTTCGAAATCTCAGACACCTAATGATTAATAAAGAATAATAGATTCACAAATCAATAAATTAAGTTGTGGTACGTTTCATATTATGCCTTAAATTATAAGGTGACGGGCAAAGCAAGATGGCTGCTGGCGGCGGCTGGTAAACAGCTAGAATGAGGTTGATTAAGATTGGTTTGATTAGGTTAGTAAGACGTGGATGTGGAAATATAAATTAGATTAGATTAATATATGCTCATGATGATCTTCTCTTCTATATAGTATCATTCTCTATAGCTTGCACACATTACCACGTGGGAAGATGTCAAATTAAGTAATCCAATTTGTTTTGGATTTGAAGCATCCTATGTATAGGCTCTAATACAGACTTGAGCAGCAATTTTTCTTATGTTTGGTGTTAGGTGAGAGTTTGGATGTATTAATCTGAATTTGAAAACTATGCACATGATTATTAGTTTTCTTTCTGTTTTTGTTATTGTTGATGAGTATGCATTATAAAATATGGCAAAGCTTTGGGGATATCATATATGTAAATTACTAAAGAAGTGTGGAAACGAGGGCAGCTAGTTGGTATCCTCTTCAAATATTTTAGGGAATTTTCTGAATTGAAAGATGAGAAAAATGAAAAAATTATAAGTTTGGAGAAGAAGAGTGATTGAAAGGAGAAGAGGTTCTGCTGGGCTTGGTTTTGAGAGATAAAAGAGTTCGGCTGTCCAAATGCTAAGATGGAGAAGAAGAGAAGTGTAGGAAAAATATGTGGTGTCATGTTTTAAATGGTTTTTAAAGAGTGATGCTTAATGAATCCTAAAATTAACTGAGTACAACATTATTTACAAACTACTTGCAACCTCATGCCTTGAATTGCACTTTACGGTGTGTTTTGTGCACCGTAAATTATGTGTTATAAGCTTATAGTGTAGTGGAAATACATTTATATATGTTTAATGGACTGGTCCCTATGTTTGCCTATGCAAGGCAATGTACTCATTTATGCCTAAATTAACGTTTAAAAGATAATAAATTAATTTTTAAATTAATAATTATTCCAATTGGTTATAATAAAAATTCAATTAAAAAAACATTGTTTGAGTTTTTTTCTCATTAACATAAGCAATATTTATAGGAGGGGGTATTTGAACACATAACCTCAAGATGGAAAAGTAACTGTTTTTAACTGTTTCAACTACAAACCCTTGTGATTAAGTGCTTGCACTAACTCCTAGTGGTCTTGGGTTCGAAGGTTGGTACCACATTATGGATATCCTAATCTCCAATGGATGAGATGGGACTAGTCTCCTAATCCTATGCGCATTGTAATTCTATTCCTTAATAAAGGAGGATAGAACAGGAAATCAGGTATAAGTAAGGGTAGGTATCAGTCATTTACTAGTACTAGTATGTTACGTTCAAAGCAACGTCTTTCAGCAAATAAGAAAATTTGGTGATTAATGGGCAGCTTCTTTCAATCTTCTTGGTGATTATTTCAGCAAATAAGAAAATTCTTCTTCTGGATTTTAGAGTATGACTCTCTCATTAAACAATGACATTTTTTGGTATTTTGAATGTTTCACATTCTCTGTCTTTTGCTTTATATATATAGATATATAATAAAGCATTACAAATTTAAGAGTTAGGGGGAGTTTGGGAGCTCCCAAAGCATAGAACTCTTTGGATTATACATTGCTCAGATAAACTTCCCATCTATTCTCTATGTATTGAAACACCAAAACATCATCCATACAAGTTATCAGATTATACATTGGTGAGATCAATTTTCCATCTATTATTTTCTACGTATTGAAACACAAGCTCTAATTGTACACGTCATTTTAAAATATTTATTGCCGTTTCTATCTAAACTAGTGCCTTCATACATACTGAATCATATCACTGGCTGAGAATTTAGTGCAGTTTTCTGATAAAGACTCCAAACTTTGTGCTTACATGGTTGTTTATGTTGTTGTTTATCCTAAACCTTTGGAAATTTAGGTAGATAGAGCGTTGTGTGGGCTGGTCGGCGCTCAAAAGCGACTTTAATTCATTAATTTTGGTGGAGCACTAGGTACCATTACAAATTGAAACTCTGCTAATACCACCCCACACTGATTTCCTAATGGAAACCCACGTTGTTGTCACAAACCACTACCTGTTAAATGTTAATTAGAGCCACTAACCTTGTTGCTAAGACTCAAGTTGCTGTTCAAAATTAATATTATGCATATGGATATGGCACTAGAGCAGTTATTTGTTTAGTTCTTGGGTTGATCTGTATTTATATTCTTGTTAGCTATAGCTAGAGGATATGTTATTCTAGTTGCTAACGTGCTCGACTAGGAAATTTTAATTTAGTTTTTAAGTATTATGGATTTTAAAGTGAATTGAAAATATACTATGTATGTTCTGTGGAATTATAAGTTATATCATGTTCATCACAACCTCATAATCGACCCAAATACTTTTAAAATAAGAAATCGATCTCAAAGTTACATATGAACTTATGAACATGAATTAAGTTAACTTGAAAATCCTCATCATACATAGAAATTGAAAAATAAAACACACTCAAGGGTCTTGGGTTTTCACCTTCAATTCCTATGTCCGGTTGTCAACAATCGCATTAAAGAATTTCTCCTTTGAAGAGCATGTATTCATTTTAGAAGAAAGTTTTGCACACATTTGCTGCACAGGGCAACAACCGCACAATGAGACGACACCCCTTGTATTTGGGTCCCATACATTGTGAGTATACTACCCCCGTTTGGTTCATGGGCATGGAGACTTGGGAATGGTAAATCAATTGCTTTCCCATGTTTGATAAGTGTAGGTATGGGAAATCGTTGCCTGACTCATGGGAAAGTAGGGGGGAAAGTGAAGCCATCCTCCCAACTTGGGGTTTGTTTTCTCTCCTCATGGGAAAGTTTGGGAAAATGAGATAACATTAAATACATATTTTTTATGACCATTTTATCCCCATTAACAATTTAGAATTACAATATATAATTAAATGCATTCTTTTTTTATTTGATTTAATATGGGTATAATTGAAAATTTATACAAAATTTGTTTCCCATTCCTACTCAAAACAAACATGGGAAAGGAAATAAAGTGATATTTCCCGGTTACTTTCCCAGCATTACCAAACGTGGGAAGGAAATCTTCCATTCTTATTCCTTGGGGAATGACATAGGAATGATTTCTCCTCAAATTCATTCCGTAAACCAAATGGGACTGTGCAGTCGAACCCAAGACCTTCTCCCATTTTAGTGGCATAAGTGAGACACAAATGAGGTCTGCACATGTGCTGCCACGTGTTTATTTGATCTTTTCTGGATTGGGTCGAACAATGCAAATAGTTTGCACCTCTATTAAAAAACTAGCGCAGCATAAAATACAATATCTTGATCACTTGCAAGGCCCATATCAGAGGGGCCTTGTTTGCCCCTAATGAAGCCCATTTAAGTCGGGTCGGGTAGACTAGCACTGAACTCGGTTACCACCAGAGGAGCAATGTCTAAAACTAAAACCCTGTCCCCGCCAAGCGCAGTGCGAAAACGAAAACCCTCATCTCAGTCTCTCTTATTACATTCGCGGCTAATAAGTCTCTGTTTGGGTGATTCTGTTGTTTTGGGCCCGAGAAAATCAAAGAAAAGAAGAAAAAGTTGGAGGGAGGGAGGGAGGGAGGGAGGGCGACGAAAGATGGAGGAGAGAGCAAAGTGCTTGGCATTGCTCGGAGCCGGAGCTCTGGTAGGCTCTGTTTCCACCATCTTTCTATTGAAGCTTCGAGCGAGGGTGCAGTTACTGGGAATGGAAATAGTAGGATGGCTGGTCTGGACCTTCTAAGTGATGAGATAGTTTCTGAACAATTAAAGAGGTATGCATACTTCACCACTGAGGAAAATAATGTATTATACGAAAATCTAGCGTAGTATAGTTAGCTGGAATTTGAAAAATACTAAGAGCAACATGTATCATTTGTATGCCACATATATAGCAGACAACATTTATATATTCAGATCATGCTAAATACAGCGGAGTGGGCCCAAACAAGTGCTCAGCGTCAGTGTTTGTAAAATCTTGTTTTGTTTTTCAAGGTCAAAATGGAAAATATGGATTGTTTATTTACATTTCTTTTTCTATTGAAAATTGACTACAGGCATCATGAAATTATGAGTATGTATCTATTTTTTTTCTTCTGTGTTTGTGCAAACTGACTGTTTCTGGAGTGAGGTTGAGGGTGCAATGTTTGAAAACTCCTTTTATTAGGTAGGATATTCTGATGTGGTTGACTAGTTATATGTGCTACCTTTTGGTTTCATAGGAACATTCAATTCTTTGGACTTGAGCCTCAACAAAAAGTGACTGCATCCTATGTTGTGGTCATTGGTCTTGGTGGAGTTGGAAGTCATGCTGCATCTATGCTTTTGCGATCAGGGATTGGCAAGCTCCTCCTTGTGGACTTTGATCAGGTATCTCTGTGTATGACTTGACTTCTATTAATCCTTTCGGGTTTGCCTAGCTTGTTAAGTTTCATTCTCTCTTTCTCTCTTAATAATGTCTCAAATTCTATGATAATTAGCTCAGGTAATTTTTGTTTCTTTAACTTATAATTTTGGGGAATAATTATGTTGGTATTGTTGATATGAATGTTTAAGTTTCTTGTCATTTACATACAAAGGATTTTGGGTCTCCACCACTTTCTTTGTTTTGAGAGTGATAATTCCAAGAAAGGCTTCATTGTTTCACAGAGCAAGCATAAGCAGGAGGAAAGCCAGGAATTTATGGTTAGGGGGTTGAAACGTGAAAAATAACTTTTTTAAACTCACAAATAATGATATATTTGACAATTATATTAAGATATAACTTTGTTAGAGAATGTTAATAGGCAACCGTTTTCTTTAATAGTAACCAAGTCTTTCATGAATGTAGTTCTTTTGTTGTGACATACTGATATTGTCACCTCTTATGAGCCGTCTGATCAGCTTGATGATATTATGACTAGACATGGTTGACTTGTTTTCTCCAGCTTGGAGGGGAGTGTATATTATTGTGTGAGACCAACAACTTACGTTTGTAAGTGGGTTCCTGTCTACTTTGAACTTTATCTGTATAAATGTCATAGAGGAGTCCGGCCCCTAGTTTTAGTGTAGGATCCTTCTCCTCTTAATCTCCATTCTCCATCTCTTCAAATCTTGTAATCTAACTTCTGCCTGAAATCTTTACTTATTTGTTGATTTCATTATAAGGTATCAGTTTCATCACTTAATCGACATGCTGTTGCAACAAGAGCAGATGTTGGTATCCCAAAAGCACAGTGTCTGAAAGAGCATTTCTTGTCAATATTCCCAGAGTGCCAGATAGAAGCGAAAGTTCTATTATACGATGCTTCAACAGAAGAGGAAATTCTTTCAGGTCATCCTGATTTTGTTTTAGACTGTATTGATAACATAGATACAAAGGTACCTCTTCTGCCTGAAACTGAAATTTATTTTGATGCATTTTATTTTATCCATTTTTTTAATTCAGATTTATCATTTATGATACATAACTACTAAACTTTTAGAGTTTATCTATTTATAATATCCTCTGTATTGTCTTTCATTTTCCATACATCTTCCATGGTCCATAGATCAGTTTGAGACAAGGTCCATTAGTTTTTAGTATGATAAAGTACAGTGACCATAACTTAATTAACTTCATCCATCAGTTATGACGTTTGGGTAGTGGATTTGAACTTGGGGTGTCCTCTTAGAGGAGAAGTCTGGCTTCCAACTGGGTCTGTGATATTTGAAGTGTTGCTAGTTCTGCAATGCGAGCAAGTGCTTGGTCACTTAAATTTATAGATGCAGATTATATCCTTCCCCAGTGCACACTATGTAACAGACATGTGTGTGTGACTTTTAATGCAAATAAGAACTAATGGACCTTTCTCAGATGATTTGCTTGATTTATGCTTTAGGTGACAAATCATTTTATGTGCCTCTATTCTGGCTATATAGTTTTGTTATTCTGTACAGCTCTCGTTCATGAACTAAGCATCCCATAGTCCATTAGAAAGCGCGGTACTTGTGAGGATATACAGAGTTGCATCTATAAATAATGCCTGGCAAATGTATAAATAATATTATATTTATTTTTTCTCCAAGGCGTGATGTTTGTTGCAAGATTGTTGCAAGACATGAGCGTTGATCAATCTGTGAAAATTCACTGATTGGTTGGAACTCACATCCTGCTATAATCCCACTAGATTCATCCCACTAGATTCATCCCACATTAGAGAAAGCATTGACAGATATCTTTTCAGTACTTGTTTTTCCAAGAAGTACTGTTTTCTTTACCCTATATCATTAGAAATTATTAATGTATCCCATTAAGAACTGAAAGTTCATCTCTAAATTCTTGATTTGCCACATATGTAATAGGTGGCACTTCTTGCTGCGTGTGTACGTAGGGGTTTGAAGGTACTATCGGCAACAGGAGCTGGTGCTAGAGCTGACCCCACCAGAATACGCATTGCTGATTTAAGACAATCAACAAATGACCCATTATCACGAGCTGTAATGATCTTAGCTTATTTTTACTGCAGTTTTTTATTTTATTTTATAGTTTGCTATTTCTAAACAATGGTTTATGATTTTTCTTAGTGGATATTAATTTTTATAATTTTTTGCACTAAAATGTTCCTTTATTAGATGCCTGTATTTCCCAAAAGCCCTTCATGTTCTTGTCTTTTTGAAATGATTGTGTGTATAATTCTTGTAGCAGTAGTCAGTTGTTCCTCAACTTGTACTTCATATTTTATATTAATTAGTAAAAATGTTCATTTTTCTATAGAAAATGCCTTTATAATTTATTTGTTGGGTAATTTTCGTTTTTCAGACATTCTAGCATGCTATGTGTCCAGATAATGATGGATACTTGGCATTGATCTTATAGCTCCTTATCGAGTTTGTAATTTCCAGGTAAGACACCGTTTGAGGAGGGATCATGGCATTGAAGGTGGCATTACTGTTGTATTTTCATTAGAGAAACCTAAGGCAAAGCTTCTTCCATTTAAAGGACCAAGTGGAGAAGAAGAAAACCCTTCAGATTATCAGGTGATGATGGTTTTTAGTTTAGAGGTTTTGTTACTTTCAATGAATTATACAGACTTCCAAGTGCTGTTAATCTGTGACGTGTATACCCTTTAATGTTGTCAAGAAATTCAAAACTTCTATAATTTTCTCTGCACTGAAACTACATTACCATATGGAGCTCCGTAGTAGTTGTTCTCTCCCCTGGTTAACAATTTGTGGTTTGACATTCTGTTCTCTTACCATGATATCAGATACTACCGGGGTTTAGGGTTCGCATAATACCTGTTCTGGGTACCATCCCTGCAATATTTGGACAGGTCATGGCCTCCTATGTTTTGACACAACTGGCAGGATTGCAAGTTCAAACGGAACCTATTGTAAATTTGGATATTGACCATTACCGGATGCTTCACCAACGCCTTATTGAGCATGAGGAGTCATTGTACGGCACTGCCTTGCAAGTCCAGGTATGGAAAGGTTTCCTTCAAATTTTAAATTTTCTCCTTTGAGGTTACTTCGCTGTTGGTTGTTTGGGGATGGCTATGGCTGTTTTAAGTTCTTTCATGTTTTGTATTGGGATGATTTAAGTTTTGTTCTTAACTGCTTCATCTGTACTAGGGTTGTGGAGCTGTTGGATTTTAAATTTTTATATCATTTTTCTGGTATTCATTATATTAGGTAATAATTTAGTATTTAAGAGCTACCTATAGGTTCAACAGCATGGAAGAGACAGGAATGCATCTCTCAATTGATTCCAAGAGTGTGAATCTAACTTATGGTGGAATCAAGCATTTTCTTCTTTAGGCACGTACGATGAATTTCCTTGAAAGATCATCGGTGATTAGCCCATACATTTCAAGAAGCCATCCCAAATGGTTTGTGGAGTTTCTAACCATTGGGATCTCCGTTATTTTGATTTAGCCAGCTGCAGTTATACTCTGTAATCCTCATTAATATTTCATTCGAATAGAACAATGAACGAACTAGGATTGTATTTCCTGTCATTTTTCTAAGTCACAGTTGACATTTTAGGCCAAAATTCTGTTTTTGGTTGTTGGACCTAGTAATGTTTTGATGTTCAGCATCGAATTTTACTCGATGCGGACAAAAGAAAATAATAAAACTGATTGCTTGTCAATCAGAATTACAATCTTTTGTAATTCATTGTTCATATTGTCTTAGAAAACTCATCTTAGTAATGCTGTTTACCCATTGCCATTTTATTAGGTAGATGTCGAGGAAGTGATGTTTGTTGTAAAAGAGTTGTGGCATGGAAGAAGTGCAAGAGAACCGTTTGCTAAAGATGTTGGGCGTGGTATGTGGCGATCGGTAAATGAGTTAATGCTTGTGAGGTATGGATTTTCTCTTGTACTACCATTACATATAACTTTTAGGTTGTTTGAATCTCACAAATCTTTTAAATATTAAATCGACTTATTTATCACTGAGGTTATTGATCTTCTTTTCCATTTGTTTCCAGGTGGGACCAGGAAAAGCCAGCATCTGTGGCCAACCTAATTCTTCTGAAATTTAAAGAGGTATAGTGTATTAGCAGTGCTTCGTTAAACCTTGGAAGCCAGCTGTGTATTGATTACTTTTGTTGTTTGAGAAAATGCAAGCGCAAGCTAATTTTCTTTTGCTTACAATAGTTTTATTTTATTATTTTTATGTTCATGTCACAGTTTCATAGATCAAGTTCTATCCTTTCTGAATGCTAAAGGTTGAGTTCTGCACTCAATGGTTGAATATATTGGCATTACTATAGGAAGCTTTAAACTGGCATTTTCTTATTGGTTCCAATTAGTACACGGAAGTTTAAATTTGCTTTCCTCCCAGATGGAGACAAATTCATTTTGGGTTTCATTGGGAATCAACATTGTAACATTTAGTCTTATAAATCTTCATTTTATCACCTGAATTTTTTCCATGGGAATTTAAGGAAAATATACTTGAAGTCATCCCCATTTACCCCAAATTATGTGTAGCAATTGTTACAAGTATATAACATAAAGTTTTATCTTGTGAAGAGGTCTTTGATGTAAGTTTAAGTTTGCAGAAATGTTCCTCCATTTTATTTAAAACCATCATTTAATTACTTTTTTCTGTACTTGGATTCGGGTTTCCTAACGCGGTCTGCTGCTACTGTTCAGGCAGAAGAACATGAATCGAGAATGCTTGAGGATATTAAAGAAAGAGAACCAGAATATTTTGTTAGAGTGACATCTATTCTGAAGCGGGCTGAACTAGAATTTGGCTTGTAAAGGTTGATTTTAAACCTTTTCATTCTTGTTTTTGTTTTCAGAGGTGTATCGATAGGAGGGGTCAGTGTCACCTCTCATATCCTTGGTTTATAATTATATGGTGTAGCTTTAGGAGTTGCATGTAATATTTTATCAATATAACATAACATGAATAAGTTTCAATACATTTTACTTATGTTAGATTAGATTCAATCATTCGCTATTTCTTTGGCAGATGATTTTCTTTTCAGGATATTGGCAGATGATCATTTATTATTATTATTGCTCAAGTCCCATATGGAAATTTTATATAGCTTTTTGAAGTTTCATGGTTCATTTTTGGTGTAATTTAATTTGGACAACATGAAGAAGGCTACAAGAACGAAAATTTATGTAAAACAAGGATACGAGAAATCAATCATAAGCTTTCATGATACTATAAATGCCAACTACTTGAGTGCAGAAATTTTTCTTTTAAGCGGGATGCTAGTGAGGAAAATAAGATAGTTCAAGTTTCCCAACCTTTTTTCCTTTTGTTTTTGTTTGAGAGAAAGCCATCTGTAAAAACATCTACAATTAAGTTCCACTGTATTTTTCAGTTAAAAATTAGCTATAAACACACAAAAGCTATGCATGGAATAATTTTTGAGTAATTTTTAGATTTAGAAGCTCGCAGAGATCTCTATAAAGAGGTGGATACGGAGTATGGTTGAAGTTGTATTTTTCCAATTTATTTCTAGAATATGTCTATGAAGATAGCTTAGGAAGCTCATTGTAAATGCTCTAGACGTACTTAATAGGCACAAAATAATCAAAACGGAGCTTTTTCCAGCAGCCGTGCAGTAAATCCAACGGAGGATCACTCACCTATGTTTGCAGGAAAAACTAGTAGGACGACGCAATATGTTCCAAAAAATTAATGCACAGTCGACTCTATGTTCCTACATATAATAATTTTAAAAAAATAATTAAACACCACGCTTTGCATAATATGCTAATGTCAACCCTCTGTCGTTTCTTATTTTCCTTTTTTGGTAGATATAACAAAAAAAGCCGTATATTCTCGATCTCCCTCTGGAATGTTGGTTGCCCCTTTCAAAGTCTAGTTGGGTTAAGGTTTCCTAGATATATTAGAGTTTTGTTTCAAGTATGTTTAGGATTTCCTAAGTCCAGTTGGGTTAGGGTTTCCTAGATATATTAGAGTTAGGGTTTGTATAAAGCTACCGACATCACCTTGTTTACCAACTTGGCATCTACTTTATCAGTCCCGTTTTCTTGGACCTCTATAGTTCAAGGAAACTGTGGTCAATCACTATTAGATTTAATCTAATAGTTAAGAAAAAACAAGTTTAAAAATCAATATGTTATCATTTTATATTAATTTTATTTAACAAAAACTTAAATTAAGGAAGTAAAAGAAAGCAAAACACGCCTTTTGGAGAAGACGAAGAACATGTTTCAGGCTTGAAAGGGTCTATGACAGATCTGGGGTTGGTTAAAACGAAATACATGTTTCAGGCAAAATATGACGTGGTGCCAAAGGGGTCTAGGTTCAAATAAATAAATAAACAACTAAATAAATGGTTTTAGTTTTTACTTTTAATTGTAAGCTAAATCATTAGGTCAAAATATGAGTAATCATTAGGTTCTAATTTACACATCCTTCCTTGATTGGGTTTTATTATTTTCTATTTAAGCGCGCATATCAAAGCAAACCTGAGACTCAAAGCAAAACTCTTCACCAATAACCAATACACTCTCAACCCTAGTAGTCGAGGTTTTAGCCATGGCAGCAGAGACAGCAAGGAGACAGAGCGGCATGTTACGGCAGGAGAAGCTGGAGTTGGTGACGTCAGATGATATACAGCCAATCGCGAGCTTTGATGAGATGGGACTCAAGAATGACGTCCTCCGAGGCATCTACCAATACGGCTATGAGAAGCCCTCCGCCATCCAGCAGCGGGCGGTGAGGCACATCATCGACGGCCACGATGTGATAGCGCAGGCGCAGTCGGGTACCGGCAAGACCTCCATGATTGCCCTCAGCGTTTGCCAGATGGTGGACACCTCCTGCAGAGAGGTTCAGGCGTTGATATTGTGCCCTACGAGGGAATTGGCGTTACAGACTGAGAAGGTGATCTTAGCAGTTGGAAACTTCATAAACATACAAGTGCATGCTTGCGTTGGAGGCAAAAGTGTGGGTGAGGATATCCGAAAGCTTGAGAATGGAGTTCATGTGGTTTGTGGAACTCCAGGTAGAGTCTTTGACATGATCAAGAGGAGAACTCTAAGCACTCGAGCCATTAAATTATTAGTTCTCGTAAGTTTCTCACTCCGTCTCTTCTTCTTTCTTAATTAATTTCCCTTTATGTTTTAGTTTCTTAATTTTCTTAACCTTGGTTTGATTTGGCTTTTCAGGACGAGTCTGATGAGATGTTAAGTACAGTATTCAAGGATCAGATTTACGATGTCTACCGATATCTTCCACCTGACCTCCAGGTTTTCTTTCTCTTCGATTGATCTCTTATGTGTCTCAGTCATCTTTGTCTTATAAAATTTTCTTCTAATCTAAACATAAACCCTAAAACCTGAACACGTCAAGGAAGCTTAGGTCGCCTCGTGTCCGCACTGTTACTTTTTTTAAAAAACCAATCAGAAAAGATGAATGCAAATGAGCCTGGAAAAGACAAGATCAACGTCCCAGCTGCTTTTAAGAGAGATCTGCTCAACTTTAACAAAGCAGAATTATTTCATCTTTTTAGCCAAAGCTAGGTTAAGCAGAATTATCACTGTTCAAACCAGGGCGATCATTAAGCCAAGAGGGCCCGCTTCCAACCAGTACGGTCGGGTCTCTAGCACGAAGACTCAACTCAACTGTGCACGAAGACCGACTTAGACTTAATAAAGCAGAAAGTATAGTGGAAAGCAAAATTATTTCATATTTTTTATTAACAATAATTCTTTTGACAACACTCAACTTTACTGGGCCATACTTGAAATATAAATTCAGTTAAGGTTTTTTCTTTAGCATGTTCTCAAGTCTTGTTCAAAGCTAGTAGTATGTTTGTCTGAATTCAGTTGTAATATATTTTTGCAGGTTTGCTTAATTTCTGCTACACTTCCTCGTGAAATCTTGGAGATGACCAACAAGTTTATGACTGAACCTGTAAGGATCCTTGTCAAACGTGATGAGTTGACTTTGGAGGTAACTTACGCACAACTTAAGCAAATAATTTGAATGTGATGATGTCAAATTTGGTGTAAAATTGAATTAATAACTTGTATTTCTGATCACATGCACAGGGAATCAAGCAATTTTTCATCTCCGTTGAAAGAGAAGAGTGGAAGTTTGATACGCTCTGTGATCTCTATGATACTCTTACAATTACACAAGCTGTTATTTTCTGCAACACAAAGCGAAAGGTGGACTGGCTCACAGAGAAGCTGCGGAGTAATAACTTTACAGTGTCTTCAATGCATGGAGACATGCCCCAGAAGGAGAGAGAAGCTATCACCCAAGAGTTTCGCAGTGGCAATTCTCGGGTCCTCATCACAACAGATGTTTGGGCACGAGGCCTTGATGTTCAGTAGGTA